ACAGACAGTGACTCCTGGAAGCGCGAGCTTCCCGTCAGAGCCACATCTGAGATCAACTGGCTGACGGCGATGATGATCTGACATGCCAAACAAAATGTCACAATGCATCACAATATGTGTTTGATAGATTTTAGAATTTTTCCATTTAAAATCATTCAATTCAAAAGGCCTTCCTATCTTAGTGACACCAGCTGTAATCTGAAAGCACATTTACTTGTTCATGTGCTTGCATGTGTTTGTATATATTGTTTTGTATATATGACCATGTATGTGTTCTTGTAGATGTGTTTATGCAGCAATCAAAACACAGGGACACTCAGTTCCTTTACGTCTGTGAGGACAGGAACAGCTGAAGGGTGATGAGAGAGCGGCAGAGAGACAGCAGGTGTGCCAACTGACCTGCAGGTGTGTGCGCAGGAAGGTCTTCCTCTTGGTATACTCAAAGTTGTTGCGCATGAGGAGGTAGAGCAGAGCAGCTGCCTCAGCACGCAGGGAGCTCAGCTTGGACACACAGCACTTGAGCGTCTCGTAGCACAGTGCTGCGCACAGTGTCACCCGACCCTTGAACAAGGCCAATGGAAACTGGCCCAGCACATGACATTACCACTCAGCACATTCATCAGATTGATGTTTGGGTCCACGACGACGCAGCCCCCCCACCTGTTATTACATCATGATTATTCATTCATCAAATACATGCATCACATTATGCATGTACCCCTTTACACTTCATTGTGAACCTGGATGATTGGGAGCCTCACCTTGCTGATGAAGCCTCTCAGTGAAGCAAAGACGTGCCTGAAGGCGGCCTCTGACTGTCCAACCTTCAGGAAGTTCAGGTAGATGTCAAACACTTTCTTCATCAGTGGGTTGTGTCCATCGCTTTCCAAAAGCTGGTTCTGAGGAGATCAATCGGTTAAGCAACAAATCAAAAGGTAACCAGCAAACTGTTGTCATCACAAACATCATAAATAACAGTGGCTTGGGTTATATCTAAGCAAAATCTTTAATAGTAGTTGTATTAATGAATGCGTTTTCAAATTATAAATGTGAATGTAATGTCTTTAGGTTCACATGCAAAGTGACAGTGGTATAAGCGTGTTAATGCACTGCAAGCAGCTGCAGAGGTAAGGAGTAACCTGGCATGCAGTCGCAACATATAATTTGAAAATATATAATGTATATATTGTCATGACTTAACCCTTACTTAGATAACATTCTTCAAACAAAGTTGTAATGTTCATTCTTGAGATTTTTAACAAGAAATTTTCTGGTCTTTCTCATGTCATCCTCAATATGAATGTTCTTAAAACTGGATTCTTTCTGCCACTATGGTATGAACTCATAAATCTTCACTGTAGAGAGAACTTGCATATTGTTTTTTAACAATGGCTACATAACTGAGTAAACACAGTGACAAGAGCACTGTCATGTGACATCAACTGACCTTGAAACTCTGAGTGAAGAAAGAGATGACATCCAGGACAATCAGACACACCTCCGTAGATAGGTTCCCCTCTAGGAGGGCCTGGTGGTTGATCTCGACCTCCATTGGCCCAGCTCCTAGGCCACATGCAAGAGAAAGTTGTTGCAGCAAGATAAGGGTCTGGTTTTGTAACTCGAATATGCAGATGTGTGACGTTTGCATGTTCTCTCTGCGTCACATGGGTTTCCAAAAACAGGACTCCTTAACATCTCTAAATTGGCTACAGAATATGCCTGCATGCGGGTGCAACTATGTGCCCTATGATGGACTTGCATCCTGGCCAGGATGTACTTCAGCCTAGGATAGGCTCCCGACCACCCTGTCACCCTGAGCAGAATAAGCAGTTAGAACATGGATGGATGGATGGATGGATGGATGGGTGGATTTAAGAGTACGAGTTCCTTAATAAGAAACCAAAAAATCTTCTGGAAAGCTCTGCAATGTACATGGAGAGCGAGGAGTTTCAGGTTAACACACCTGTACTGTTCAGGGATAAAGTTGGATTGAGGGGTAAATTACACACCTGGGTTCAGGCTGAAGGAGGTGTCCAAGGTACCGAACTGCTGGATTTTGGCCTGCATGAGGCACACGCGACCGCGCATGACTGGCATGGTCTTGGACTTTCTGTCTGGGGAGAACATCTTGGACACCCAAGCATCCTGGCCCCTGAACATGCATACACAGGCATACACAAAGCAGGAGCTTCATCACAGGCACCTGCTCTGCATACAAATTCTTCCTTTCAAAATATAATTAAAATAATTATATCTTGATTACAATGTTAATGGGTGATAATAAATGAAAAGCTGTTTGTATGACCCCACAACTGGCCCTATAGATTAGGGATGTAAATCACCATTGACTTCCCGATACGATATCATCAGGATACTTAGGTACCAATTCAATATGTATTACAATTCTGTAAGTATTACGAGTCTATGAATATCCTGATTCGATACTACGATTTCTTCTCATTTTTTTCTTCTTTAGAATTTTTAAACCTTGAACATGTAAAAAACACCACTAAAGTTTTATGCAATACCAACACAGCTGAAATGAATAAGAGTAAATATAGCACACTCCAAATCATTTTCCTCCTCAAAAAACCAAAGGCTGCATTTAAACAATGCCAAACAACTTCAAATATAACAGTATAAATGTTAACTTAAAATTAGAAGTTAACAAAAAGCTACATTTGCTGCTGTTATGGTATAAACTCTACTGAGCTTTTATGATTCTCCGCTGCCTTGTCTATCTCAGGATGATGTCTAGCAAAATGTGCCTATATACTCACCTAAAGGATTATTAGGAACACCATACTAATACGGTGTTTGACACCCTTTCGCCTTCAGAACTGCCTTAATTCTACGTGGCATTGATTCAACAAGGTGCTGAAAGCATTCTTTAGAAATGTTGGCCCATATTGATAGGATAGCATCTTGCAGTTGATGGAGATTTGTGGGATGCACATCCAGGGCACGAAACTCCCGTTCCACCACATCCCAAAGATGCTCTATTGGGTTGAGATCTGGTGACTGTGGGGGCCATTGTAGTACAGTGAACTCATTGTCATGTTCAAGAAACCAATTTGAAATGATTCGAGCTTTGTGACATGGTGCATTATCCTGCTGGAAGTAGCCATCAGAGGATGGGTACATGGTGGTCATAAAGGGATGGACATGGTCAGAAACAATGCTCAGGTAGGCCGTGGCATTTAAACGATGCCCAATTGGCACTAAGGGGCCTAAAGTGTACCAAGAAAACATCCCCCACACCATTACACCACCACCACCAGCCTGCACAGTGGTAACAAGGCATGATGGATCCATGTTCTCATTCTGTTTATGCCAAATTCTGACTCTACCATTTGAATGTCTCAACAGAAATCGAGACTCATCAGACCAGGCAACATTTTTCCAGTCTTCAACTGTCCAATTTTGATGAGCTTGTGCAAATTGTAGCCTCTTTTTCCTATTTGTAGTGGAGATGAGTGGTACCCGGTGGGGTCTTCTGCTATTGTAGCCCATCCGCCTCAAGGTTGTGCGTGTTGTGGCTTCACAAATGCTTTGCTGCATACCTCGGTTGTAACGAGTGGTTATTTCAGTCAAAGTTGCTCTTCTATCAGCTTGAATCAGTCGGCCCATTCTCCTCTGACCTCTAGCATCAACAAGGCATTTTCGCCCACAGGACTGCCGCATACTGGATGTTTTTCCCTTTGCACACCATTCTTTGTAAACCCTAGAAATGGTTGTGCGTGAAAATCCCAGTAACTGAGCAGATTGTGAAATACTCAGACCGGCCCGTCTGACACCAACAACCATGCCATGCTCAAAATTGCTTAAATCACCTTTCTTTCCAATTCTGACATTCAGTTTGGAGTTCAGGAGATTGTCTTGACCAGGACCACACCCCTAAATGCATTGAAGCAACTGCCATGTGATTGGTTGATTAGATAATTGCATTAATGAGAAATTGAACAGGTGTTCCTAATAATCCTTTAGGTGAGTGTATGTTCATCATATTACCACAATACTTAACTTTTGCAGGACAAAGTTTGGCTTTTGTCAAGCTCCTCTTTATCATTTAAATTTTGAAAGCCAAAAATATATACATTGGACTCAAACTGTGGAGGAGAAGCACAAATCTCTTATGTTGTCCGCCATTCCTATTACTGCTAAACAAAGTCAGAAAATAATTGGCTCCTACTACATGGTATGCTCTGCTGCCTGTCAATGTGGGAATAGTTTAGAGCACGCCACCTGTAAAATTATACAGGAACTGCAATTGTGTTTCCCCACCTTGAATCCAAACATATAAATTATAAATTAATAAAAAATCAATTTCGTTAGTTAGTGTGGTGATACATGAATAGCAGCAAAAAACACTGATACATAACTGAACCGATTTTCCCCCCATCTCTCCTACTATTGTTTCCAGGGTGCTCCTAATACCTGCCAATATTCCTCTTGCCAGCATATCTGAAGTGTACCAGGCATATCCTGAAAAACAACAATCATACAAACCATAATATCAACCACAACAGCAATGAAGTTAATTAAAATTAAGGTCATTTAGCAATCAGGACAATCACAGCAATGAACATACTGTATATCTAATTATTTACACCAGATTAAATTACTTGCACAACAGAAGCAACGGTTATGAATAAAGGATGTGGATCCCACGACTGGTTCTGCTGTTGTACCTGTCACTGAGGCACCACTTATCTGCACTATGTAATATGCAGTTGTACGGATGAATTAAGGCCTCAGCTGCTTTGTGCGAAAGAGTTCACCTCATAAAAACACTGTGGTCAAACAGAACTGACTAACGTATCACACAGCACTCAGCAACCAACTTACTCTAACAGGCTGAGAAAGTTAGTGACATCTTGATGGGGGACCTTGTTCCAGTAAGCCTGCAGTGTGTCTGAAAAAGCAGAGGACAGATGCACCATAATGACCTGATACACTGCTCTTCACCGCTGAACCCCACTTGCACTCTTACATATGACCCTGCCCTAGGCTGAGCCTGCTAGCCATTACTGCTCAGCAATACACTCTATTTGTTACAGTTTTGATTCTGACAATTTGCACCTGGTGTACATTTCTACTTTTTCATGTTTTCACATCTGTACATTTTATTCATATGGGTATTGATTTATTCACATGGGTATTCGGTTATTCATATGGGTACTCAATTATTTGAACTTTTATTTATATTATTTATTCTGCTCCCTTTATTCTATTTGTTTCCGTGTTTGCTGTCAGAATATGAGCCACTGTAACACCCTCATTCTTCTTCAGGAAAAGTTGCTTCTCATCTCATCTCACCAAAAATTCTTTCACTGCTTCTTACAGCTTGAGGACACAATAACTAAATAGATGGAAACCTATTCGTTGGTGAGTAATGCCTAGAATTGGTGACACCCTGGAATCAGTGAGTCCAGCAACAGTTGAATTGTAGGAAAATGACTAACATACATTTCCTCCTTACGTTATCAGAGATCATTAACTTGCAGCTGACTGTCTTGGGCAACAGCTTGATGCTTGTGAAAGAGAAAGTCCCCCGCCCTCCAACATTGCCAAGGTATTCACCTTCTGACACGGTTTTGACGATGTACAGGAAACACAGGAGCAGCCCTTTGACCTCGTACTGCCCCAGATGGCCCATACGAGACAAGGTGCTCATCTTGAACGAAGTCCTGTGCAGCTGTGGACAGTGGGGTTGCCAGGTCAGCGGCACTGTAATCATCATCACGAGCCTTATGTCAGGCATAATAACCAATAATGTAATAAACGTGGTGCCATAAAAGAATAACACCTGCACAACACAAATGTCAGACTTTGTCCATTCCAAGAATAATGGGAATGAGGTCTCTAGTTATGTTGGTTCATACCAAATTTTGTCAACGTATAAAAACTCGATATATATTTTTTTCTAAACCAACATAACTAGTTTGTTTGTTTTTGTTGTAGAGAGCCAACATTTTTTTTTTTCATTTGTATGCAGGTGCTATTTGTTCTTTTCAGAAAAGTTGTTTGGGCGTTTTTATTGTTGTATAGTGTCATGCCCTGCCTATCTGCCCCTCCTGTTTCACACACCTGTTTTGCATTAGTCTTAACTCTTGTTCCTGCCCTCGTGTAATGCATTTCAGTTGCCTCTCATTCTGCTCCCTTGTTAGTCTCAGTATAAAGGCACTTTCCCGTGTTCCCAGTCCTGACATTAACGTTGTTCCCCCATGTGCTCTGGTTCCCATTTGCCCTTCCTCATGGTTTGATCCCATGAGATCCTGTTTGTTTCTGTTCAGTTCCTAGTCAATAAAGCCCCATTTTGTTTGCTTCAACTCCCACTCCCGCATCCTTCATCCTGCTATACACAACATGTAGATTAATTCTACACTACAATACAGGAATTGCATGTTTCCCTGGAGTTGGCATGCAAATGCTGCATATAGCAACAAAGCATCCAGGGGCTGGATGTCCAGACTGGCAAAGCGGCTCATTTTTAGGGTTTCAGTTGTGCCCTTCTCACCTCACTGTTGTCCAAAGACACAGTGTCCATGTACAGGGAGCCTCTGGAGTCGTCCCGCCTCACCGTGTGCCCATTCTGGGCCACAGAGACTATGGAGGTAACAGTACAGAAAGAATCTTACCATCATCTCAAAGAGAAGGAATACAACAAATTCTCACATCCATTAAACATGACCAAAACCCCTTATTTAGCAAAACAACACACAAATACTGAGGTAGCCAAGGATAAGAATACAATATAAAATCACACAGTAAAAACACACAATGTAAAAACATAGGGATCTGGAGGCCATTCACTATGCTGTGGCTCTCAAAGAAAACTGAACAGCATTACAACTGTGGTGGTGTTAACAGAAACTGGGGTAGTACAATCAGATGGTATTAATGTTGAAGGTCGTTACAATACAGTATAGAAGCACAATTACCAGCAGCAATGACACCTGCAAATCTGAAATCTCAAAACCAAATGTAAAAGTGGGATGCGGGTTCCATTCTGAGGTCAGGGGTTTGGGTTTTGCCTAACAGGGAATTTGTGAGGCTCGCAGTAGTCCATCGAAATGAGCTGTAAAACAGGCCCTCACCCTGCTCTGCTGTCACACTGATCCTGCGGGGCTCAGATGAAGAAGAGGGCAGCGTGAGGTCATCCTTAGAGACCTGGGGAGGACAGGGGACACAGAAGAGTCATACTGACTGACAAGGGATCTCTTAGCCAGGGGCAGGTTAGGATTGGGAGGCCTCACCGCAAAGTCCAGCCCCATGTTGGAGGTGAGTTCCCTGGGTGAGAGCTGCTTCAGGTTCTGGTAGAGCAGCTCCAGCACTGGCAGGTACAGCACGCAGATCCGAGCCTGCTGGTTCTACGAACAAACAAACAATGTCACAGTAATCCCTTCACATTCTTGACAAACTTGACAGTTATTCACAAGATGGTTGTGCACAATTAAACCGGAATATTTTTGGAGCTTGCCGAAAAATTGCAGAAACTCAGAGCCAAAAACAATACTGAGCATGATTTGGATCACAAAAAACAAATAATATATAAATATAGTGATATATAATATTTGTTAGTTTAAGTGCATACTATATCTTTAATTTTAAAAGTATTCACTTGAGTATGCCATCCATCTTTGTCTTGGCAACCAGCCTCACTCACAGATTAGTTGTCTTTGTGACAGATGAATCTTATGCTTCTCGCAGTAACTTTTAAAGTTTTCAATGCTGTTGCATTTTAATTAATTGGTCCTAAACATAGTGCTTCCAGTGCATACAGTAGTAATTTGGGACATATAGGGGCACAATTGAGATGGTTTGTATATTACATAAAAAAGGTCTAGATAGGAAATGACAAAGTGTACAGCATAGTACTGTTTATTTAAAAATTGGTATTAAATAGACCTTTATATTATCGTTCAGGCAGCAGACTGTTTTGCGCTGAGGCTAGAGGGGCCCAAGTATTATTTCACATTCACTGTTTCACATTTGTGGAAATCCCTACCCCTAACCCTCATGGATGTGAAGGGGTTACTGTATTTATTTGTCACCTGTACAAACAAAATGGTTTGCCCGTTATTCTTTGTCACTTTTACGGTATGTTTGGGAAGTTCAAAACTCACTCATAACCACTATTTCTGCAAACTATGCCATAGAGCTACAGGTTAGCCACTGGTTAATGTACGAGGCTGATATAACTGTGGGTACAGGGCAATATGAGACACTAACACCTTTATCATCTCAAGTGCTTATAAGGTAAACAGCCTGCTGGCCACACAGTTCCTATGCAGTAATCTTACCTTGTAAGCACTGTAGCGGTCATCCAGGGCATGCTTCACCATAAGGTTCTTGAGTACTGCCACGGCTAGCTGCCTGACCTCGGGGCAGCCCTGTAACCCATCAGCCACCTCTCTGAGCAGCAGTCCCACCAGGAAATGGTTTCTGCAATAGTCCTCTGTCAGGCTGACCTCCAAGTTCTGGTCTGCAAGAGAACACATGTGGAATGGACTGAATCTCTGCACTGGTCCCTACAATGCTGGCAAACATGGCACCTTGAGAACCAGGTGCTGAAAAATTCAGTGCAGTAATGCCAGCTTTTTTAACACAGAAGATAATTCTTATCCAGTCTAGCCAACCATCTCAGACAACCCATACGAAGCAAGTTACTTCACCATAAAACCTTTGAAAACTCCGAACATGCATTTCAAGGGGTTATGTCATGATCACCACTGAGCATAAGCAAGTCAGGAAAATATCCCTCAGCATCATGCTTGAAAAAAAATCAGGCCTATAACCCAAAAGAATGATTGGAAATGGGTCACGCAAGAAAGGAGAACAGACCTGGTTTCAGTCATAAGACAATAAGACCAATATTATGGGTGACTGCAAAACCGAATTCTTTGCATCCCATCTTCATTGGACTGGGGGTTGTAAACCACTACACTATAGAAAGCGCTCTCAAAAAGAGCCTTTTCAAGCAATGCATCTATGTTATTTAGATATCCCCATTTAAACGATGATCTTGCAAGACAAAAGATAACTCAAAAGACTTAATGTGTTTTTTAAAATAATTTACCCCTCCAAAGTTAATGTGGTGGCATAATTATGCTCACAAACCATGGCCACCATCATATGCTCCAAATGCAACAGTGACACATCTGACCTAAGACCAAGAACAGAACAATGTAGTATTCTGCATCTGGGTTTCCAGGAGATTGTTCAGCCAATCACTGAAGCCCAACTTCATGCGGAAGAAGTGCAAGGTGAAAAAGCTGCGAAATAGGGAGGAAGGAAATATGTCCATTGCCAAGGTTTTTTTGGGTAAAGATCATTCATTTAGATATTTCTTTGCTTAGTTTCTGAGTCTTGAACCTTGAGCCCGCAAAGCAGTGCATAGAAGGTCCTACTAGAGGAATAGCATACATCAGTTAAGACAGGTCCCTGGGTATTTAGGCAGGAAGGCTTGCAGGGGTTAGTTGGTAGTGGTTGTGCATGGCCAGTGGGGGGCTCCACCTACCTACAACGCCAAAACGATCCGTCGCAAACGGAATCATATCTGACCATGACCAAAATGAATAAAACAAAACAGGAAAAAATTAAACTAATGAACAAAACATGCTTTTTTCCTGCATATTAGAGGGCTACGGTATGTGTAGGGTGGTATAAGTAGGGATTGTATTAATCCCTAAGCATGCTGACATTAAAACATCCACTACTTAACTCTTAGCGAAGGCTAAAAACGGTCAGGCATACTGCTTGAGGGAGGTGAGGGAGTGGTGACTGGGATTGGACAGCCAGTGGGGTGGTACAGAATAAGGCCTTAGGAGCTCACCATGCATTCTCTGCAGTCTGGTGCGGGAAAACGCCATGGGCAGATTGAGTGGGATGTAATGCTCATGGTTGCACACTGTCAGTAGGAAATCATACTTCATCACTGTGAGAGCCTGTTTGGAGAAGTCGCTGTTAAGTAGCTATATGACACCGTCAAAGAATATTCAACAACACAGTTGCTTAAATTAACAAGACAGCTGAACCTGCTGGACTCCTACTGATCTGGTATAATAACTGACTAACTAAACAAATTAAAGTATTTGCTAAAGGTGTACTTCTAATACAAAAGACAGCCGCACATTATGCTGGAATAAATTTTCAGAATGAGTGAGAACACTCTCAATCAATCAAATTCTAATTAGTACAGAGCACTTTTCAAGAGAGGTTTTTGACAATGCAAAATGATAAACAATGGAAATCCTCTGGATAAAATCAAAAAATGAAAATGATTTCCTGCCCCCTCCCAATAGTATTACATTAGTGGAATTGCTGGAAAACAGTGTCCATGATGTAATTGCCTATAAGTAAGACATACTGTAAATAGCCTACAAATGGCCTGGGAAATTGATGTATAAAGAAAAGAACTGTAAACATCAATGCTCCCTACCTTGGGGTCCTTCATTGTGAAACCACACATGTAGTCATTGACGAGGCTGAAGGCAAATCCTCGGTTCATAAAGGTGAAGCACCTCTGCAGGCAAATGAGGGCCATCAGCATTCAGGCAGTATGAAGAATTATTAGTCAGAGTAATTATGAAACCATTCATTACCAGCTCGTTAACAAAGCTGATACATGTATCATGTAGAAATGTGGTTAGTGTGTTGCCTCACTAAAAGTTCAAACTTACACTGTTTTCTCATTTACATTTTACTCATTTGCACATGTAGATACCTGTTTCATGCTAGTTCTTGGTTAGCTAACCAGCTGAAAGCAGATGTCCACAGTCAAGATCTCCACTGCTCCACCAGTGCCCCTCTTTAACTACTGTACTATATTCTTTCTGCAGCTTGACAGTCTGCATAATATACTCAGTATTTCACGCACTGTACCATTTTCATATCTGTCAGTGCCTTTATTGTTCTATTCTTTGGGTCTCTGATGTTCTGAAGGTCAGGGGAGCATAATTGAATCTACCTTAGTCCCAGACTTCCACTTGCTACCTCACAGGTGGAATTTCCCTGTTATTTTACCTTAGTGTAAGTGTAGTCACACATTCTGAGCCGATCAACAGCAGGTCAAGTCTTGCCTTGTACACTGGAACTATGTCTGACCTTACAATAATGCAAGAACCCACATTACAAAATTTCATCAGACATGGTGAAACATTGTTTACGTATGAGCCGAAAACAACCTAAATAAAATCCAAAAATTTCTTTGACTTAACGATCAAGATGAAAACAAAAGTTTGACACGTCAGCTGTAATTAAATGGAGATTGTAGAAACTGGTCTGACCTCTGTTGTTTGAAAAATGCCCTTATACACAAACATCAGCTGACTGGTCTGACAGGTTAGTTATAAGTAATTGACTGCATGACTGCATGACTGCTTCACTGTCACTTAGATGGCATGAGGCAGAAATAATATGCATGGCCCTGGTTTGCAGTTTGCATTTCCAGTGTGCATATATGGTGCCATGACAGTAATGAAAGTGGCTTTCAACTCAAATAGTCAATAGAACTGTCCGGCCCTTTGGGCCATCTACCCTTCAGGGACTTGCATACGTACATGTGCTAATCAACGGATCATGCTAAATGTTGATGGGTAACAGATGCTGGGTAGCAGCTGTTCTTAAACTCATGTGTGATCTCCCTACCTTTGTTAAGAGCTGCAATGCTCACTTTGTGGCCTTAAAAAAAGAAAGAAACATGCTGGCTGCCTGTCACGCAAAGACTGTAAGTCCGATACGCACAATGCAAATAAACAGGAATCTGATAGAAGCGCTGGTTCTTCAAAAGCATTATTCATTTCCATCAGTGAGTTTGTTTTGTGATTAAGGTCAACGTTTATCTCAAAAGGCAAATTAGCTGAAGTATTTGAAGCGCTGCTTTGGATCCCAGCGCCGTTCACCCTGTTCCACTGCATTTCTGCCCACCTTGGCATCCTGTACGTGGACCGCTGTGGCAGGTAGCCAACAATGCTCACACAGCTGCTAGCCTGCCTTCAGCCAATACGCTCAAATGAGCTCTTAAGAGGTCAGGCGTAGGTCATCATGCATAAATGGTTCTAAAGAAGGCCAACAGAAGGTCGGTGTGTGGCACATCACAGGCAGCTCTGCTGGGGATGTTAAGTTCCTCTGCTCCTTGTGATATTGGATTATACTTGTGCATTACACCTGTGCATGACACCTGTGGTTGTAATTTGGTCAAATTTTTATCACTTTTTTGGCATACAAATCTCAGTAGGAAGCCCTGCCTTGAAGAAGTGGACCACATCCAGGTTAGAGGATCTCACTTTGAGAAAGCAGCCCAGGTTCCCAGATTACTAGATCTCACCTTGATAAAATGAGCCAGGCTCAAGTTAATGCAGCGGGCCTCCTCGGGGACCTCCAGGTGGCGGATGGTGATGTGAGGCAGGATGGACAGCAGTAGGGACTGCAGGGCCAGGTGGAAGCTGTCTGGGAAGCGCTGGGCGCGTGGCATCTACAGGGCACACCACAGGACATTTTTATTGAGCCTCCCTCACACCCACATGTGCTATTCATGTCCAAGGTTAAGCCTGTCCAGGTCATTAGATATTACATAGATGGTCACAGGGGAGCCTATCACAGGCTTCACAGGGCTGCAGTACACCTTGGAAGGATGCCAGACCATCACAAGACACACACCACAAACACTACCAGCAATTTAGAGACCAAATCAGCCTGACTGCATGTTTCTGGAGTGTCCAGAGGAAGCCCAGATGACACAAGTTGAACATACAAACTCTGTATACACAGAGCAGGGACAGTATTCAAACCCCCAACACTGGCGTGTGAGGCCACAGTGCTACCCATTGAGCCACCACTCCACACAATCAATGTACACTCAGTAATAAAACAATTATTAACAAATTATTAATGGACTATTTAAAAAGGGCTCAATGGTTGTCTGAGGGCAAAGCAGGACTTAGGTGCTTTATTAGAGCATGTGTGTCAATTCGCATGTGTGAGTGAGGGAAACGACACTCAGAGCATATTAGGATAATGAAAGCTGGCCTGGGCCCCGAAGGATTATTCTGCAGCGAGGTGTGGCCTTCTCAGTAGGTATTCTTTTACCAAGTGATGACAGCACAGTGTTGAAGTTCCATGTCGCCTGTTCAGTGAGTCCTTTTTCTAAATGGCTTGTCACCTCAAATACCCTCATACATTATTTAGGAAGTGTGTTTTCGTTACACAAAGATAAACGCAGTGAGGGTGCTGAGAACTCACCTTTATCCTGTTCTCAACTTGCAAGTACTGAGCCATAGACTTGGCAATGACCTCGAAGAAAAACCAAGAGTACTGAAAAGGGGAAGAGGAAATGATTGTGAGGCCTTGTGCACCCAGAAACAGCTTCTCACAGAACAAATATTAACTCACCCACTTAAAAAATCCTTAATTTTTTATCAAAAGAGGTCAAAACACGAATCTGGAACTGTCAGTTGTGCTTTTTTACTTTATACACCAATATTCCTTAAATGCCTAATATTGAAAATCAATTAAAATGAAGGGAGACGAAAAAAATTATAAGAAATAACCTAAAATTATGAACATTTTAAGTAAAAAACATAAAAAAAGTTAACCATTCCCCAGTTGTCATTTCACACGATTGTATAATATGTACACGCACACACACACGCACACACACGTTTACACACAGCCCTGGCCTCATATAGTTTTGTCATGCTTGCTTAGTTCAGTACAAATGCAGCAAATTTATTAGTTTCATAACAACAAGCAATGTTTAACATATCTGCATACATCTTCTGCACACACATTTTCCGTGTATTATAAGATTCGTGATTTTTTTTATTGACTCATTCAGTTCAGTTCTAGTTTTTGCTATTAATTGGAATTGCAGTCATTGGCTCCCAAAGGGATGTTTGGTGTTTTATGTTATTTCAAAGGTGTTACTAATTAAAAAGCAACCAAAGCGGCTGCTTGACAACTAACTTTTTAAACTTAGAACAGCTATTATAGAATTACAATTTGAGTTTCAATGTATTATTACTTGACATTAATGTTTTACCTAAAACTCCAGGTTATTTCTAATATGCTATATATATTTCACTAAAATCATTTATGTTTCTTCTAATATTTTTACTGAATTAAGCAAGCGTCCTAAGACTTTCTTAATATATAATTATACATATACGTGCGCGCACACACACCGTACATACATGCAAACATACATCCTTCATCATAACTGCTTATTACTGCTTATTACAGTAAAGGATCACAGTAAGCCTAGCGCCTATTCCAGGAAGCAAAGAGCCTCAAGTAGGGCTCAGTGAGGTCTTATATCTTATATCATGTTGTCATTCTTAGACTACTAACCATTGCAGAAAAAAATGCCATTTTGTTTTTATAGTTAAACCTTTATATGCCTCCCCGACCACAGCATTCTTCTCATTCTAAAAAGGATAACAATCCTTTTCGACAGGTTTAGCCAGAACAACCACAAGTGGCAAGTTCCTCATGCAAGGGGACACAGGTGAATTAAGAATGGAATTTCAAAAGTCAAACTTTCGGTTATGCCTGGCAAGTGAAATGACATCTGTTAAATAAAGGGAGATATCTGAAGAAAATATTTAAAATCATTGGTAACACTGGTTACTTGATAGTATACTAAGTATGTGTGACCTAAGTATACTCAATTACTACTGAAATACAAATTATGAATCAGGTATGAACAAATATAGTTACTACTTGAGATAAAATGTACATTACAATTAATTTATGATGAATGGACATGACATCAGTATTTCACTTGTGTTACTAAATACTTGTTCCTTCAGTAGTTTTTTCAGTAGCTCACAGACGTTCACAGAAATAACAGATATAGTAACAAATAAAATTAACACTTGAAAAGAAACATGTTTCACGATTCGTTAATGATGAATTATCATGAGATCAGTATGTAACTAAGACAGTTTGTGGCACCTAAATTAATACATAATAGCATAATACTACAATATATTACATACCAGATCTGGGCAATGTACTCATGTTTAAAATTTGATCCAATAAGTATATGGTTACTTCAAACTCCTAGAAGATACAATAAAAGTAATGCTAGGGTGCAGCCATGACAGCTGACTATATTGTATACTGAGGTTTATTAAACAAGGAAAGTAAAGTCAAGTCACTAGGTCAGTCCCCTTATTATGTGTGTGTTTATGTGGACATATCTATATAGCTATATCTACAGGATATGTGTGTGTGTGCGCATATATATATATATAGAGCCAAAACATGATGACTGTCTGTCTACCTGTCTAATATACTGTTACTCCTTCAAGTGCCGCCAAAGCATGGACTCTACAATACCTCTGAAGGTATCCTGTGGTATGTGACACCAAGGCACCATCCTTTCATTCCTGTTTGTTGTTCCAACAAATCTCTCACATGCTTGAAAGGAACAGCTAAAATTGGAGGCCAGGACAACACCTTTATGTTTTCATCATGTTCTTCAAACGATTCCTGAGCAAATGTTGCAGTATGGCAGGGCGCATTATGCTGCTGAAAGTGACAACTGCCATTGGTGAATACCGTTTACATAAAGGGGTGTACCTGATCGGCAACAACATTTAAGTTGGTGGAACGTGTCAAATTAACATCCACATGAATCCCTGGACTGAGGATTTAGCAGCAGAACATTATCCAAAGCATCACACTCCCTTCACTGACCTGTCTTCTTCCCACAGTGCACCCTGGTTCCATCTCCACCCCAGTAAATGACACATGGTGTAACAGAAAATGGGATTCATCAGATCAGGTGATTTTTTTCCCATTGACCTAGGGTCAACATTTGACACTTGCATACCCATTGCAGACACTTTCGATGGTGGATGGGGTTAGTATGGAAACACAGCCCCATGTGCAGCAGGGCTCTGTGGACATTACTCCCATAGCCATCATTAAAATTACCCACAATTTGTGCCACAGTAGCCCTTCTATTAGTTTGTACCACACAGGATAATCACATCTTGCATTGATGAGTTTGTTGCTGATTTGTGGTTCATTTCTAGTTGGATCACTGCCAGTATGTACTCCCCATGGCTGATTGTGAGCATTCCCTGGCATTTTTGAGATGCTCTGATACAGGTATCTGGCATATTATCTATTATTATCTAACTCACTCAGGTCTTCACCCCTGCTCACTTCTTCTGCATCCAAAATTTTGATTACAAGTTCCAATTGTTCCCTTACTGTGTAATATATCCCAGTCCATGACACGTTCTGTTTTTATGAGATAGTAATGTCATGTGGGGGTGGTGTGTGTATGTATGTATGTGTGAATTATGTTTATACTACATTGAGGCGACCACATGTTCCCCAAAATGTGATAAAAAACCTGTTATTTTGACATGTGAATGAAATCAAAAACTAAAAACGCCAAATGTCTCATCGTTTGTTGGTACTTATGGTTAAGGTTAGGGCTGGGTAGGGGTTAAGGTCATCATGTTGGAATTAGGGTTTTCCCAATAGAAATTACAAAATTTTACAAAGGTATAATTACAAGACTGTGCATTGTCCTATAACTTAATTTCTGGTAACATATTTCAGGGATGCAACCTACTGTGGCTGACCGGGGCAAGACTGTGTATATGACTGTGACATCGCAAAGTTATTTCATTGTGTTGTACTGCCATCTAGTGGGAACAACAGAATCACTTTAAACACTTTCGTTTTCTGATGTTTCTTAGACAGAATGTAAGCGAGAGTGAATGACTTGCCAGTATGATTTTGGCTTAAAGTGGTTCTGTCTCTCATGCCTTCATTCAAACAATAATGTGAATGTTATACATTTGATTTTAAAGACTAGCAGGTACACAGGACAACTGTTGAAGGGAGAAGTGAGCTCACCCTTGCAATCAGCCTTTTGACTGCCTTTTTGCGAATACACACCAGTATGGACCATTAGCCCACTGTACGATATGAATGATATCTAACAGTTAATAAGTTTGTCTCTCACCTTAAGCAGTTTGTTGCAGGTGATGAAATCTGCAGTCTGCTGTAATATGGAGGCCATTGAATTGGCCAGAACTTCATGTGTGGTTACGGAGCTCCCAGCCACAGCCTTTTTGGTCACGAACACATACTATATTGTAAAGCACAACGATATTCAATTAAAATTGACAATTCAAGTGGTTCAATCCAGTTCAAATGCAGGAATTCAACAGGAGTTCAAACATTAGAGCAGGGCAGTTGTTGTATTTGCCCCCACCCGAACCATGTGTTGGGGGCCCCCTGTTGCCCATGAACAGTGACTAAACTAAATATTGAATGAACACATTCCTTATTAAGGAGACGCTAAAGCAGCATGTTCTGCTAACCAGCTAGCTAGCCATGATCTTCTACAATTACTTGCTATTTAGTTTTTCAAACCTTTATGACGTTGTGAGGACCATTGGTCAGGTCCCCACAAAGATCTGTGAATCCAATCAAGAAAGTAAAAATGCCAGAAGTCTCGTATTTTATTTGGTTACTTATGGTAATGGTTAGGGCTGGGTAGGGGTTCAGATCGTCATGTTGTGCTTGGAGTTTTCCCCATAGAAATGAATGGAGTCCTCACAAAAAAATAATTACAAACTTGTGTGTGTCTCACAAGAGAGTATGATGGGATATGGGAAGAGAAGCATTCTGATGTACTCATACTTGTGCAAATGGCAAATCATGAAATCTCAATTCATTTTAGTTTTAACTAAGCACTTGTAGGTGCCAAACTAAACTACTTCTTTTGGTGGTTGGTCTTCATTCTGCAAGAAAACCTTTTCAAGACTTGGCAAGGGGCTACCTGAGAAAAATAAAATAAAATTCTTCCATCACGTCTGCCATGAAAATAAACTGGTAGATATAATGCAGTCTACCTTGACAAACGAGCGAAGATAGTGCTCCAGTCCTTCTTCATGGCACAGTGAGACAATGTGGATGATCACTCTGGAAAAGAGGGCATTGGGTGCTTTTAAACTTAGCAAGCGGGTTAGTCTACAGTAAAAAACCTCAGAATATATGGTGCAGACATATTGATAGGGAGCTGGGTTTGGACCAATGAAAGGTATGGCTGACTGACCGCGTACAGTTGACAGCTATCTCCTGTGTCTCCTTGGTGGACATGGTGAGAACTTCAAATAGCTGGACTAACACCGTGGGCAGGAACTTGAGGACGACATGAGTCTCCATGGCATGTAGGCACTAGTATGAAAGGGAGACAGGAAGAGAGATTTGCACAGCACCTGTTTTGAATAAAAGCCAAGCTTATAATTTCTAAAACCTTCTAAAAACAGTCACACATCATTCCCAATCCAAAAAGCTTAAATCCTCATCCACCTGGAGCCCTTAGATACTTTAGGACATTCATTCATTCATCCATTCATTCAGGGCAAGTCAGTTACACATTACACAGTCAGCATTAGCTCTGGTTTAAGAATTCCTATTAAACTTCCACACTTTGCAAAGTATCAGAGAATCACATGAAAAGGGCCAACAGCACATAGTACATGTCCCTTAAACATGAGGGATCACATTTCCTATTAATATGTTTTGGCACATTTCAACGCTGACAAAGCACAGTTCTCAAATATGATATTCACAGAAGTCACGAAAGACAGACAGACAGACAGACAGGGTAGGAAGACCTAAGGCCAGAAAGCTGGGCCATGACCAGGACAAATCCTCAACCCCTGTACCTTGAGGTATTTGACGAGCTCCGCCGGATTGTCCTCAGAACCAAACTTCAGCAACTGGCAGTGCTGGAAGAACCTGTGCAGATGTGGGTCCTGCAGTGGCACATGGGGACCCAGCCCAGGGGTTAAGAACTTACTGACCATGCCAGGCACTGAGCATCTGTCACTGACCCTTCAGGGAGCAGCCACTGTTTTACATTTTATGCCTTAGCCCATAATTGATTGTTAATCTTTGACTTAATTAATTCATATGACACATGCTATTCATTAAACAGACTCGCATGGCCTGTAATGTTCCACGTCAGGCTATTTATGCAGAATGGTCTCCATCTGGTGACTGCCACTTAGTCCTATACATCCACCTTCAGTACCCTCTTCACAGGTGGATAGTTCAGGTTCAGAAAGGAAACATCTAGACCAAGATTTTGTTTCAAACAACTAGGTTAGTATAAAGAGTCACAGACATAGAGTAAACAACAGGTTGGTTGAAACAAAATTTGGGTCTGGATTTTTACTTTCTGAATCTGAACTATCCAGTTACGACCCTCTTATAGAAGAACACAGTGAATCTCGAACTGGGTGGGGGGCTGAGAGGGTTATCCAGGACTCCATACGAGTCTGTCACACTGTCCACACACACAATTAGGAGTTTCCATTCTACCTAACTGTACAATGGTCTAAAGGCAGTCGTTCATAACAGCAGATTTTGGCCATCCTGTCTGTCAAGCATTATCGGAAATGTATGGTACAAAGCAGCCGTGTGACATTATTGGCTATGCTGTCTGCAGTAATGGCTAGCTAGGATGTAAACCAGTACCTGAGTATATATTGTTGATGCTAAATGGCTCCTCATTTTAAACAGTGGTTTCCCATTTTCCACCCACTTGATCTCAGGTGCAGCCTGGAGTAAAAAAGAACAGGAAATGTGTGGAACATGTATGGAGCAATGTAAGAATTAAAACAGGAAAGCACTGCATACAAAAAAACGATACAAACATTATCACAGAAAATCCATCTATTTTCCATGACCATTCATCCAACATTGGGTTACAGAGAGACTGGAGAGTATCCCAGGAAAGGAAAACCAGAGAACACCCTGGCACACTGATATTTTTAGAATTACAGGAAAAACTCTTGCAAACACACATAAATAAATAAATAATAAAACACAGGCATAGAGCTAGAGGTAAGAAGTCACACCCAGAGCCCTATAGGGAGCCCCACCTTTCGGCCGTCCTGGGTCTTGTCGCTCAGGTAGCCAGCAGGCAGGTTGGCAGCCACAGGCAGCTGGAGCTCTGAGGACTGAACGCAGCCATCCTTCTGCAGGGGGGCCCAGGAGTATCCCACTGCAGGGTAGGAGAAAGCAAGTCACTCAATTCAATGTTCAACCTGCACACCCACATTCATGGAGTATGTCATGTAATTTATCCATCTTCAAACCTCCAGTGTGCCTATCTGAGGTGGAATAGGGTACGAGCCAGGGGTACCACGCACGCACGCACGCACGCACACACACACACGGGTGTGCCCTAGTGAGGACCAAAAAAATGTCCCCACAGGTCAAAATAACAGGTTTTTGTCACACTGTGAAGACATTTGGTCCTCATAATGTAATATATACATGCCCCCACACACACTGCAATCTGCCTAACTGCAAGCCTTTGGACTGTAGGAGGTAACCAGAGCACTATATCTATCCATATGTAAATATATCCATTCTCTCTGATTTTATTTTTATTATTTGTATCTAACCTCAAACCACAGAAAAACTCAAAACAGATAAAAACTGAAACTTTTTTAAAGCAGAAGATGTTGCCTTATGGCTATATTCTTTTCAGGATTAACCTTCTCCTTCTGCACTTGTTCTCTGCCCAGCACATGCTCTGTGTGCATGGGGCGGCTAACTGGACCCTCACCCAGGGTCTCCACACCCTCTCTCTTCTTGGTGCTCATCTCGCAGCTGATGTGATAGAATGTGAAGAGGACATGGTGCTTGCTGTGCACGTGGATTGGCAGCTCAATCTTGACCTGTAAAAAAGCAGCGTAATGGTTAAATCAGGCAACCATTCAGCAATTGGAACATTATACAATCACAATTAAAAACACATTACAGAAAATTTCTGTTTTTTTTTTATTTTGAAACTCGTGCCACTCAAGCCAGATATGTTCAGAAAAAATCTGAAATAAGGCTGTTTCATTTAATTTGTGCACCTGTTTCAAAAATCCTTATCTGAAGGTGTGGTA